AGGATCTGCCAAGTTTCCTTCTGACTTCACATAATTGATGGAAATTGTCCCATCCTTCAGCAGCTGCTTTACTATATTATGTCTTAATTGTATATGTCTATTCTTCCCATTATACGATTTATTCTTAGCTATGGCTATTGCTGACTGGTTGTCACAATGTATTGACACTGATGGGGTTGGTTTCATTCCTAAAGGAATGTTTGCCAAGAAGTTTCTTAACCACTCAGCCTCAGTACTAGTCATTTCTAGAGCTACAAACTCTGACTCCATGGTTGATCTAGCAATAATAGATTGCCTAACTGATCTCCATGCAATCGCACCACCACCAAGTGTAAACACATAGCCACTATATGTTTTTTTTAATGATGACTTAAAGTAAAAATATGAAAATATAAATTTAAAGTTGTACCCTCTAGATTTCTAATTTGTTGAGTTGATTGATCAATGGCTCTACGCGTCGCTAACGCTCGAGTCAAGAGGGCTGTGTACCCTCTGGGTCTCTAGTTGGTTGAGCAGGCTGAACAACATATACCTTCCTGGTCCCCATCCAACTGAGCAACCTAAACTTTAGGCTAGCTGTCGGTATATTGACGAGCGAGTTCTGGTAAAACTAATCAAGGTTATGATTCTTGTGATTCTTGCATAGGTTTGATTACGATTATAAATGCGGTTCATATGCTCGTTACAGAGAGGGATCTGCGCGCATTTAAGGGGATGAGAATCAAAGATTCGTATCACATATATGGAACCCATATAAATAAGGAGAAATGATATTGGTGAAAGTAGGGTCTTTCTCATTCTTGAATGTTCTAAGTCAAGATGGCGGTTAGGTTCTCTTAGGGTTCACATCACTAAGGGTTCTTCGGCTGCCATCCCATGGAACAAAAGCCAACAATATCTTATTGTTATGAAAATATGTGTAAATAATCCTTAAAAATAATGTTATAAAGCATGAGAGAGTGGAGACTAAGTAGCATAGCGAAAAGCAAATAACGAGAAAGAGAGAGAGATATTTAAGATCGGTTATAAATAAATTGATTTTGTATATTATATACAAAATTATATGATTGATCTTAAAAATAGGAACATGACATACTTTTTTAAATTGGGTATTTAAGAACTAATTTTGTATATTATATATAAAATTGGTTCTAAAATAACCAATTTTAAAAGTAATAACGAAGGAACCTTTTAAAATCAGTTAAATTTTAACCATTTTAAAAATGGTGATTTTAATTACAAAAATGTCACCGCCTCACTTTTAAAATTGATTCCCTCTTAACTATGACACCATCTACCCCACATTCATAATTATACAATAAATAGAAATAATTAAAATCTTTCATAAATAAAATCAGAATCTCAAATATCTTACGTAGAGGATTCACATTCACAAACTCATAAACAATATCTCTAATACGGGAAATTATAAAAGAGAAATTGAGATTTTCAAAACAGTTCAATGAAAATAAGTATTAAGTTTATAATATAATTTTAGAGAAGATGGATATAGTATTAATATGTATTACAATTTTTAATTTTAAAATAGTTTATTCAAGTATTAAGGAAAATTTCTATTAAATGCAGTTTTTATTTTTTTTTAATACATCAAACCTGAGAGCAGATGTAATGTTAATTAGTTTAGATTTTGTTAGTTATTTTATTTTATTTTTGTGAGAGAGATATATATTTATATATATATATATATATATATATATATAAAGAAGATGATTATATCTTTATTATTTTTACCAAAAGATTTCATATACAATTTCACATTGATAAAATATTATTCGTTTTGAGGACTTTCACAATTTTATTTTTGGTCATATCTCCCAAAGGTATCTTAACTAATAAAATATGCATATACTTTATAAACTCTTAATTCTCTTTCTGTTCTAACCATGTGAGACTTGATTTGTATTCCAATAATTATTCCCTCAAACAAAAGATCCAACCTCCCATTCAGTAGAGGCTAACCTTCTATTTTGTAGAATTTGTCTTTACATTGCATTTTTGTTGTTGTATGTATGTTTATGATTATGGATTATTAGTGGTCACCGAATCCAACCAGTGACTCTAATACCATTGTTAGGGTTTTTTTTTATTTGTCTTAAAGGAATATATTTATTTAAAGAGAAGGGTTATATTTTTGTTATTTTTACTAGAAATATCATACACAATCTATAATCTATTGTTCTAATGAATGTAACATGTTTTATACCTTAACAAATTTTTTTATTTGAAAATGATTTTTTAAATACTTTTCAATGTCATTGTTTAATTTGAAACCAAATGAAATTTATTTTTCATAAATAAAAGAATAAATAAAATTGAATGAATGTTAAAGCTCAAACATAGAATCATATTTTTAAAATGTTTAAAAAAGATAAATAAATTAAGAATATTAACTTATAAATACTCATCAATGTCTCACATTCTTCTCATCTCACTTTCTTCTCCTGAGACTCTCATAACCCATCTCTTTTTTTTTTCTTTCTTCTAAATACTAAACCATTATAAATCACTCACCTTTACCTTTAATCATTAAACAACTTTTTTTCATCTTCCTTTTTCAACACCATACTATTATTGCCCTTGAATGCTAACAACACAGACTAATCTAAATTTTTGAGGCATGCAATGCATTGTCCTAGGAGATTTATCCACAAACTCATACATAAATTCCTAAGATACAAGATTATTATTAGACTAAGAATATAGAATTGACAAGTTTTTCGCCAAGAGAAGAAAAAACATAGAAAAAAGTGGATACTATCTGTTATGTTTATAATTAATCACAAAAATTTAAAATAATTAATTAAAAAATATTTGATAATTTAAATCAAAATAATTAGATTATTATATTATTAAAATCGATATTAATTAGACTTTCAAATCTATAATTAATAAAATAATAACTTTGATTTTAAAATTTATATTATCTTTTTAATGAACTTTAAATAATAAAATTATTTTATATTATCTTTCTAATTAAATATATTGTATAAATAATTTTTATAATAAACAATTTAAAAGGTAGAAGAATATTATAATTAACACAAGAGTCACGAATATTCATATCTCAAACAAACTGAATTCCTTTTAACACAACCAATAATTTTACATAAAAAAATTATGACAAAATTACATAATAATAGATTAGATATGTATGTAAAATAGAGTTTAATATTAACACACGAACAATATAAGTTTTGTACTATCATGTAATTACAATCCACTATGAATAATAAATACATTAATTTTTACACTGACTACTTTAAAATTACACAAACTTAACTCTAAATATTTGGAGACTTCACCATTAAACCCTATAGAATATGGTAGAATATAGTATAGATAGAGAAAGATAGGCTATGAAATTTATTTTTTAATAATTAACCAAAGAGAGAAAAAATGGGTTAATTGACGAAATAGAGTCAAGCAACGCTCGTTCGTTTTAGCGTGATTCTCTGTTCTCTCTCGCACGATCCTCGTTCTTGCAGTGGTGACCCCTCTGTTCAGACCTCAGGTACGTGATTCTTCTCTTCTAGATTTAGGGTTCCTTTGGTTTCTTATTCAAATTTGTAACATTTTATGAAATGCCTTTGTTGACTTTGAAGGATTTGAATATAAATAAAATTCGATGGACTCATATAATAATTTTCCATAGCCTATTCATCCTAAGCGAAATTTATTCAATTATGTATTTCTCTTGTATATAGTGTTACTCAAGCTTCCCTAGACCATAGACTGCAGAAACCCCAATAAAATACAAGCCCAAAAGATATATAAAATTCGATGATACAATGAAATTGAATGTTTGTCTGCATGCTATTTGATGTTTTATGAAAAATTGTGGCATTTTATTTGGATAGTTGTCTTTTCCAGCACGGGTTCTCCTCTATTTAGTAGATTGTAGTTGTACAATAAATCATTGTAAGGTCACATGGTGAAGGGTATTCCTCTATTGTGGTGTCGTTTTGGGTTAGTTACCTTTTAGAATATGATACTCATAATTTGAAATTAAATGATCCGATTAATAGAGACATTTTCCATACCCTCTGCCTAGTTGTTTCATGGTTGTGGAATACACCGTTAGTTTATGCATCTAAATATCTTTGTCACTGCAACTGGACTAGGAAGAATTCCCACTAAAACAATTGCTTGTTTAGAATTGTTTTTTTTACTTTTTAAAAGTTCTAAGACTTTTTCTAATAAGTGAAATTACGTGCACTTTAACTTTTGTTTGTTTTAGATTTCAGTGGAATTGATTTTGAATTGTTCATCGTGACTGAACTTTGTATTTAAATAAAACTCATTTACAAATATTAATTGAGACATGGGTCATGGTGTGTGAAATTGATTTTGCCTTCTAACCAAATAAGCATTAAAATGTTCGCAAGCCTGTGATATCGATTTTGGTAACTTCGATGAAATGAAAAACACAGAATCTGCATGGAGCTTTTGTGAATATTTAGTGCCTTAAACCTTATAAAACTGACATAAGGATATGACTTAACAAAATAATTAAGCTCTGTACTTGCCTGTTATTAAGCTCTTATGTGCTCTAATAATTCCCGGCTTTCACCAGCAAACAGGGCTATTTTGCTATCTGGTCCAGCAGGTATGCTATGCAAGAATTTCACCTTGTCATGCAGAAACCTTTTTTAATGAGATAAGTCTAGACCTGTAAGTATCTGCAAGTTTCTTCTTCCTTCTTGAAAACAACACTGCTGTTGAGAGCCAAAATCCAAACCCCACGATGGCGAGTGAAAAGTCGGTGCTAGCATTGATCAGGGCTGCGAGGCCAACCTTCCGCAACCAAAACGACAAAATTGCCTTTGCCATCCACTCTTCCTTCCTCATCTATGGCTATGTCCTCACTGCCACAGGTCCCCAGGCCCTCTCTGATAATGCGCTTTCTGACCCCTCCAATGGTAATTAAGAAAATAAGAATAACCCTTTCCCCTTTTTCATCTTTTTTTTTTTTTCTTTCAAGTTTTTATTGCTGAAAGTTCCGTTTGTTTGTTTATGTGCTGCGTTTTGTGTGTAGATGAGGTACCTGTTGATCGTTGGAACGAGCTAAACGATGAGTACGCGTTTGTTTATGCGAACCCAGAAAAGAGCTCAGAGAAAGTGCTTGTCAAGTGCCTCCCGATGAACGACAAATTGCTCGTTCATGCTTTGTCTCAGGGGTCTTCTGAGCCTTTAAGCCTTGAGATTGAGTAATTGATTCTTTTCTCTGTTTCTCTATTTTGAAACTTTATTTGTTATTATTTTCTGATTGAGAAGTTTAGGGTTTAGGGTTTAGGGTTTTTGAATGGGTTTTATTTGTTGTGTTTAGGGTTTAGGGTTTAGGGTTTGAATGGGTTTTATTTGTTGTGCTTGAGTTGTGATCATTTGGACATTGGGAGTGCCGAGTTTAGTTGTTTTAAATTTTTACAACTGGTTTTCTTTGTTCGGTTGAGTTTTGCTGCTTTGGAAAAAACAGGGCTATTGTCACAATAGCCCTATTATCTGAGGAGTGTTTGGACCATTTTGTACATGCCTGAGTTCATGTAAAGGGTTTCATTTTTATTTATGTATTTATATTTAATTATTTATTTATTTGTTTGTTTGGGTGGTAGGGGGGAGGGGTTGGAATTTGTTTTAGTATGTGTACAGAAAAGTTTAGAGTTTTGCAACTTGTTTTTTCTTGTGTTGCATTGCGTTCTCACTTTGAAATGGGGTTTGGGTGTGATTTTTTATATGCAGAGTCGGGGACTATGCTGGAGAGGATGGGGGCAGCAATTATTCTCAGCACTTCAAGAATTTGGATAAGCTTGTGAAGAAAATAGATGGGGATATCTTGTCTAAATTAGATGGTTCTGCCAAAACCAGCTCATCAAGTAGAAGGTGAATTTGGATTTTGTGAACCGTGTCTATCCTTTTATAATGTTATATGGGAATGTAAATTTTATATAACTCTAACAACAAATATTAAAGTTTTTTTTTTTTAATTGAACCATCATTATATATTTATAAGAGTTTAAGACTTTTACTCTTGATAGTTGATAGTGAATGAGAATTATCTGTTTAAAGCTTTTGACACTATTGCTCTATTATATCAATATTCATGATTAATGGTAGTGTATAACTCATAGCGGATGAAAGTTCAATCTCACATGATTTTTGTAGACAAGTAGTTCTAACTTCTAAGAGCATTTTTTTAATAACCATGATATTGGTATGGAATATGAACTAGTTTTATTGTGATTAAAGATTTTGAAGGATCTGTGTGTAACTTCCTGGTTTTCATATTATAAGAATGCCATGTGAGAAAATCTGGCCCTTAAATTTATTTTAATTTTGGGTTGTTATATTGGACAACTGTGGCATTGCCCTTATATGAAGGTTTTATGCTGTAATGTTTTATGAACTGGGATCTTCTTTGAAAAATTGTCTCATTGTTTTTTATATAGCTTAGAAACAAGTGACAAAGCTAGACAAGAGATACCTGAGCCTGTTTCTGGATTTGGTGAACATGTTGGTCCAAGGTAACAGTTTCATATTACTGTGTTTCTTACACTATTTCAGTGATTTTTGACACTGTTCCGCGGATTGATTATCAATTTTGTGGTTTTACACACTTATTGTTGGTTATCTTGAGCATTAAGGTTCCCTAATCTAAATATCAAGGTGTCAAGTATTTGATGATCCATGCTTGAAAATTACAAAAGCAGTCTGTACTGTTATTTATGTGCTTATTGATGGGTTGTAGGAGGGTTGGTGGATAGGACAGTTTATGTGTGTGACTTCAATTATGATGTTCTATACATGATGACCGTTTCCTCTGATCCTATAAAGTCAAATGATGGCCTGATATGTTCTTGATAGGCTTTTTGATTTGTCTATGACTTTGAACTTGTCTGGATACAAGTTTTTGAAAGCCTATCTTTTGGAAAGAAAAAAAAAAAACTTTATTTTCAATAGAGAAGTTCTTAAAAGCTATTTTAAGTTTGGATCCAAATAGGCTCTAAGAAAAAGGAGATCGTATTACAAAACAAAATTAGATCAATAGACAAATGAAGTATCAATGTTCCCACCCAAAGAATTCCCTTTAACTCCAACATAAGCTGAAATAGAAAATACACATGATCCCCCATTGTTGCCACAGCCCCCAAGAAAGCAACACCCGAGGATGTTTGAACTCTATTTTGACAAATTCATCCAAGCTATTTCTTTTTCTCATGTCTAATTAACATCCCTCCTAATTCCTCATACAAGCCATTCCCTGCTGTTCCCTCTCAAGTCATTAAAGGCCTACCTGAATAAACTTGTAAGGGGAGAGCGGGGTTCATTTGAGTCTAGCTTTAGTGGCAGCTAGCTTTGTTGAATCCATTCCAAGTTCCTATCAATATCAACATACTAAGAAGTTGCCTCTTCCTTGAGGCAGAAAATCAAGAAATTGACTCCAAATACTGCTGTCCTCTTCCTAGATTGCCTTCCTCTGGGGTTTTGGACTTCCATAGAGCCAACCATTCCATTACAAGATTCCTCTAATTGTGTGCCTCCCTGTGTGTGACCACTGTTGAGAGTAATGGTAAATGGAGAGAACATATTCCTTGTGTATTGCAAAGCAAAAGATGTGTTTATATACAAAGTAGTGGGCCTAGGCCCATAAGCTAAAACTATATCTAACACTCCCCCTCAAGCTGGTGTATATAGATCATATGCACCAAGCTTGTTACAAATATAATCAATCCTAGGACCCCGTAATGATTTGGTGAAGACATTTGTCAACTGATTAGTAGAGTTAACAAACTGAGTAGTAATGTCCCCAGATAAAATCTTCTCACGAATGAAGTGACAATCTATTTCAATGTGTTTGGTCCTCTCATGAAATACTGGATTTGAGGCAATATGAAGGGCAACTTGGTTATCACATGAGAGTCATCTGTGTAACTTCGCCAAATCTTAGTTCTTTAAGCAACTGTTTGAGCCAAATAAGCTCACACGTAGTAGAGGCCATAGCACGATATTCTGTTTCTGCACTAGATCTTGCCACTACATTCTGTTTCTTACTTTTCTAGGAAATCAAGTTATCATCGATAAAGACACAATAACCTGAGGTGGATCTCCTGTCAGAGGGAGAGCCTACCCAATCTGCATCTGAATACCTCACAACTTGGGTATGATTGTTGTAGCCATATAATAAACCTTTTCCTGGAGCACCTTTGATATACTTCAGAATGCGGATGATTGCATTCCAATGTCCTGCATTTGGAGAATTGAGAAATTGACTCACCACACTAACTGCAAAAGAGATGTCAGGATGAGTTACCTTGTGATAATTCAATTTTCCAACCAATCTTCTGTACTGAGAAAGGCTCCCCCTGACTTGGTAGAAGTTTAGCATTGGGATCCATAGGTGTATCAACGGGCTTGGAACTCATTAGCCCAGTTTCCTCTAAAATATCCGATGCATACTTTCTTTGAGATATTACAATTTCATTTGTAGATTGTGCTACCTCAATCCCCAAGAAATATCTAAGTTTACCAAGGTTTTTTGTCTGAAAGTGATGGCAAAGATGTTTTATCTGAGAAATGCCATGATGATCACTACCAGTAAGAACAATATCATTAACATACACTATTAAGTAGATGCACCCAGCAGTGGAATGTCGATAAAGACCGAATGATCAGCTTCGCTTCGAGTCATACCAAACTGTTGGACTACGGTACTAAATCTACCAAACCATGCCCTTGGAGACTGCTTAAGACCATAAAGTGATTTGTGGAGACGACATACCAAACCGGAAGACTCCCCCTGAGCAACAAACCCAGGAGGTTGCTCCATATAAATTTCCTCAAGCAAATCCCCATGAAGAAAGGCATTTTTAACATCCAGTTGATAGAGAGGCCAACGGCGAAGAGCAGCCATGGCTAAGAATAATCTGACAGAGGTCATCTTGGCAACGGGGAGAAAGTGTCGCAATAGTCTAATCCAAAAATTTGAGTATAACCTTTGGCGACCAAACGAGCTTTGAGTCGATCAATGGTGCCATCAAGACCAACCTTGACTGTAAAGATCCATCAACATCCAACCACAGACTTCTCAAGAGGCAAAGAAACAAGATCCCAAGTACCATTGTTCTGAAGAGCACACAGTTCATCAATCATGGCTTGTCTCCAACCAGGGTGGGCCAAGGCATCTCCTACATTTTTTAGGAATAGACACAAAGGAAAGAGAAGAGAGACAAGTATATTGGGATGGGGATAACTGGTGATAACTCAGAATAATATAATGAGGGGAAGGATTACGAGTAGAACGATTACCTTTCCGGAGGGCAATAGGGAGGTCAGACTAAAGTGGTTGGGCCGGAGGGGACTTAGGTGGTGGCACCGAAGTAGAGTCGGGTGGGGGTCCAATGGGAAGGTGGAGCGTTGCTGACGATGATAAACTTGAAGTGGAGGCGGAAGTAGTGGATCGGGTGACACAGCAAACACAAGAGGAGTATCAAAGACAAGAGGGATGGTTGAAGGGGCAAGGATAGGTGTAGGAGAAGAGGAAGTAGATGGAAAGTAAAGAGAAGACTCAAGAAAGGTGACATCAGCTGAAATCAAGTAGCGATGAAGGGAGGGTGAGAAACATTTATACCCTTTTTAAGACCTATGATACCCTAAAAAGACACATTTGTGAGACCGTGCGGAGAGTTTGTCAAGACCAGGACTGTGATTATGGACAAAACATGTAAATCCAAAGACGCGAGGAGGTAGAGGGTGGAGAGGTTGAGTGGGAAAATAAATAGGGTGAGGTATTTGATTGTTGAGGACAGAAGATGGCATTCAATTGATGAGATAGCATGTGGTGAGAACAACATCACCCCAAAAAGGTTGAGGAACGTGACCATGAAGTAAGAGGGTGCGAGTGGTCTCAATTAGATGTCTATTTTTGCGCTCAGCCACCCCATTTTGTTGAGGGGTATATGCACAAAAAGTCTGATGAAGAATTCCATGAGAAGCCATGAAGGCTTTAAAGGAGTGAGAGAGGTATTCATGAGCATTATCACTACGAAAAATATGAATAGAAACACCAAATTGAGTCTGAATTTCATTATAAAAAGATTGAAACATGGAAAATAATTTGGAACGAGATTTCATTAAAAATAGCCAAGTACATCGAGAGTAATCATCAATAAAAGTTACAAACTACTGAAATCCTAAAGTGGACTTAACCCGACTCGGCCCCCAAATATCAGATTGAACTAAAGTAAAAGGAGACAACGCTTGGTTGGGGACACTCGGATTAAAGGAACTACGACTATGTTTGCCTAACTGACACGACTCACACGACAAATGAGACAACTTAGACAGACGTGTTACAAGGTGTTGAAGCTTGGCAAGGCTAGGATGACCTAAATGAGCATGGATGAGGGAAGGGGAATCCGCCACCAAATCAATAGGAGCAGTGGTGCGTAGGTGATAAAGGCCATGAGACTCACATTCGGTGCCAATCATCCGTCCCGAACTTCGGTCTTGTAAGAAAACAGAATCTTTAGTAAAAGAGATAAGACAATCAAGATATCGAGTAAGATGACTAAGGGATAATAAATTAAAGGGAGACTCTGGGACATAAAGAACATTGTCAATGGAGAGAGAAGGAGAAACATGGACAGTATCAACACCATGAGATGTGGCACGAGAGCCATTAGCCATAGTGATAGAGGGTAAATAAGCAGAAATATGATTGGTAGCACCAGAATCTAGGACCCAAGGGCCAAGAGAGGTGGAGTGAGTGAGACCAACAAACGAAGGGTTTGTGTGCGCAACAGGAGCAGTGGAATTGGAAGCTTGACGTTCCTCATACCATTTAAGGAAGTCATTGAAGAGAGCTGGAGGTCCACCGATGAACAGTGGGTCCACCGGAAAGTCAAGGATAGGCTCTAGATACCTGGAGAGAACCTATTCCTTGCAAAGCAAAAGATGTGTTTATATACAAAGTAGTGGGCCTAGACCCATAAGATAAAACTATATCTAACAACCACAACCAAAATAACCTCTACTGGAATGTAGTGATCTGCTTCAATACCTAGAGGAAGGATAGCGTCTACTGGATGTTTTTATGGCCAAATGGGTATTCTTTAGTTGGGATCAAAGTTGCCCGAGTTATGCAAACTCGTGGAGAGTCCACAGACTTGCAAACTTGTGAGAGTTTACCTAATATTTAAAATTAAAGAAAATCTAATGAGTCCAAACAAAATTTAATACTATATTTTTTTTGTAAATTTGACAAACAAAATTGGAAAAATGTGAACATTGCCCAAATTCAGACAAAAAAAGGCAGTCATAGCTCCTTGTTCATGTAGAGTTCAGACCCCTCCTCCTCACCCCTATCACTAAAAAGACAATAACAGTGGTACCATGTACATATTCATGCAGAGCTCAGACTGCTAAAGGGTACCTTGTTCACGCAGAAAAGCAACGAAGCAAATCACTGGGGTTGCCACTTGTATTTGTGGTCAAAAGTCATAGCTTGCACAAGTTCAGATCTAGTTGGAACTTGGAATTCACAGCTCACAGGTGAAGGAGGTAGATTTGCAAGTCAGAGTTTGTAATAGAGGCTGGTTGGGAGTTGGTTGAGAATTGAGATGCTGGGCTGGTCGGAGGAAAGTTTGAAGCAAACACAGAAAAGGAGCAGTGGAAAGGAGAAATGACATGAAAGAGAGAGGCAAGAGTAGAAGAACGACAAAAATAGGTCAAATGGCACGTCTCTTTTGGCCTTTTTAGTGCTTATTTCTACAGCTTGACTAAACAAGATGACTTGTGCTTGAAACCTCAAGTTTATGGGATTTTGTCGAGCCTGGCCAAGTTCACCCAAGTCTAATCTGGAGATTCTAGGCTGAGATTGGAAATGGATCATAATGGTCAGAGATCTTGGGATTGACCCATCTGGGCATATAACAACAACCATACTAGCATCTATGGTGTCTAATTGCAGAGATGTCATGGTAGTTTGCATAAACTGAACAATGTCCCCAAAACATTCCATGAACATACCAATTTATTGAACACAAGAACAGAACAGAAAAAATAGGTCAAATGGCATCATTTTTGGCCTTTTTAGTGCTTATTTCTGCACCTTGACTAAACTAGTTGACTTTTGCATGAAATCACAAGTTTATGGGATTTTGTTGAGCCTAGCCGAGTTCACTGAAGTCTAGTCTGGAGTGAATTAGTGTTTTGGAGACCTGAACTCAAACTCACAATTTTGAGTTATTTCACGGGTGTGATAAGTGATAAAGTGATAGCCATTGCTGGGGAACATGGAAGATTAGGTGCATGCAAGCAGGGGGTGGCAGCTGTAGTTTGTATACCCACTGCTCAAGGGCAGATTTGAAGTTGAACATAATAATAATGGTCACCGAGCTTGGATTGATCCATCTTGATTTGTGAGAACATATTCAACAGCAATCATACTAGCATTTATGGTGTCTAATTGTTGAGATGTCATGGTAGTTTGCATATACTGTGAGCAATGCCCCCAAAATATTCCATGAATCCACCAATTTATTAGGATTCTAGTAATGTTCTTAGGCCTGTTAAAGAAGGCTATGACCCAAAATAGGAAAATACATGACCACCCTCCCATATGTGATTGAGTTTCTATATTTAGACAGATTCATCAGATCTATTTTCTCTCTAAATAAATTTCTCCCCTAATTCTTTATACAAGTCATTCCCTCTTGTTCTCTCCTAAGTCATGTACTTTTTACATTTTTAGGCCTCCAACAATTCTTGTAGGGGCTTCTTAGGCCCAGCTTTAGTGGTAGCTGGGACTGTTGAGTCACCGTTCCTATCAGCACTACATGCCTAGATGCTTAATGAGCTAAATATTTTTTAAAAAACTTATTAACTATAACATCATACTTCATCTTCATGATCAATGATGAATTTCTTCATTGTGAATTAAGTAAGCTTTTTGTGGCTAATGTATTTTGTCTTTGGAAAATGGTGAATTCTGCTATTTCTTCCCACCTCATAGAAAGGAACAATTTACTGTTTCTTATTCTCTGAGCATACATTTGTGCTGATTTTCCTTTTGACTGCCATACGCATTAGCTTAAATGGAACCATCAGTTGCCTATATGCCATACTGTCTTTATGATCATTCTTTTTAGTTATCGCAGCTACTTGCTTTTGTACTAATTAATTGAGTTTAATATTTTGTTTTGCTTTGTACAGAATTATTTTTCCTTCAGTGCCCTTGGGTTCTGGTAGTGATCTTGTTCCTGGGCCTCCAGCTGGAGTGCTTCCTTCAAGGTATTCTTACCTGCATTACTTTTTCAATATTTTAAGACAATTGCTATTTCCCTATTTTTTCCTTTCCAATTGTTGTATCCTTTTGAACTTCCCTCATGATTTCAGGAGTGGTCATGGTATCGGTGGGAGCATGCTTGTTGGTAACTTTAACATATTCCAATTCAGTTATATGAAATCTTGTATAATATTTTAGCATAACCATAATTGTCGATGCTGAGTTCAACACTTGTACAGGGCCAAATGATCCTCGCTGGTTTGGTGGTATTGGTGGAGATCCTGCTTTTCCTGGTGGATTGCAGTAAGTTGTTTACATCTCTTTCTTTTTATTATTTCTGAGTGATCAGTCTAGTTAAAGGCAGTGCAACCTACAAGGAACACCCTTGGTGCTAGGTGAGGTGAGGGAAGGTTCCAAATTATTGTCTTTTGTGTTGCGCTACATTCCTCGCACCATGACATTTTGTTTTCTGTGAGAGCCTCGTTGATGTAATGGGCTTGACAGACCCCAACTCATGAAAAGCATCAACTTTTATGCATAAAACAACTATGAAGTTGCACAATAAATGTGAGAAACGTCACCCACTGCCTAGCCAAAATCAATCATCATCAAAGCTAACAGTTACCACTCTTTTCATTCAACAGTTAATTCTACTCTACACATGATTCTTCTGTTTCTATGATCATTTTAACTTCTATTTGTTGATTTTGTATAGTGTATTTTCACGTGCAAAATTCTGCTGTTAGTTTTTCCTCTAGCATGGGTTAGAAGATTTTTGTTTTGTTTCATTATTGGAGTATCTTCTGTGTGGTTTGGTGCCTCTCCCCTCAGGGTTAAATGCGCCTAGCGCCTCAAGGGTGCCATTTTCGTTTGAGTACGATGTATCTTATGCCTGTGGCTGTGGCTAATTTTAAGCTCATATGTAAATAGGGGTGTTCCTCCGGGTGCGCGATTTGATCCATATGGACCTCCTGGTGTTCCTGGTTTTGAAGCCCACAGATTTGCAAGGTATGGTGAACCACATCTTGTATTCCATACATAGTATTGATTCTAAACTTCGTAGTAAGTAAATATATGAAAATAAAATAAGATAACATGAATTGAATTTCTTTTGTAAATTAAAATTAATTTATGTAGGCTAAATTATACTTTTAGTTTTTAATCTTTTAAAATATTTATTTTGGTCATTTTTTTCCCTAAATTTAGATCAATTTTGTCTTTTTGAATCTTTTTTAACTAATTCAAGACTTGAAACTCTTCTCATCAAATTCACTTATATAAAAATTATTGAATGTAATTAAAGTTCAAACCAAAAGGATTATTTACAAGGAAAAAATTGAAATTTTCAAAAAATAGTTTTATACTATTTTCTAGTTATTTATGAGATATATTTTTCACACAATTTTCACTATATTTATAACTTTAAAACTCAAACATCAATTGCATTTCATGATATCATATGAGTAAATCTAATATTACAAGTTTCACATTTTGAATCAGTCAAAAATTAATTCAAAATTGTCTGCAAAATAAAAAATGACCATTATTTTAAAAGAATCAAATTAATCCAAATATAAAAGATAAAAGACTAAAAGAAATTTAAAAAATAAGATTAAAAAATAAAAAATATAATTTAGTCATTTATGTTTAAGTTAACTTTTAGAACTTCTCATTCAATTTCTCTGAAAGCTGATTTTAAATTATGTATATACTAATTTTAATTTCCGAAAGAAACTTGTTTAAACTGCAAGGTGGAGGAGTTATTATGTATTTAACTTGAAATATACATTGTTTCTAACTCTTGTCTTGCAGGAATCCTAGGAGGCCAGGATACGACGCTCATCCAGATTTGCAACATTTCCGGAGAGATGCTGATTCTGACTTCATATAGACATAGTATAGTATAGTAGTTGTGTACCACCGTCCTTTATTTATTTCTTTTGTCAATATTCCTTTTCTCTGGGAAAAATATAAGTCACCGAGTCAGCTCTCCTCATTCATACCGTTTTCCGTGTAATGCTTCACAATCTGCATTCTATATAACTGGCTTTGGATTATTTGACTATTCTATATAAGTTATTTTAGTTTTATTTGAGGACCGCTAAGTATGTTGATTCGATGATTTTAAAGTTGTGAAAATTAACGATCTAATTTTAAATTTATAGATTAAATAAAATTTCTGGCCTTATAAAGTATTTATCCATGAAGATTTTGATATAGGAGTTTTGATCCTTTTAGGAAGTGATTAACTTTTAAATATTAAGTAATAAGAACTATTGATAATAACTGTTAGTTATATTGAGTGTGTTTCAACTTCCATATCATCTACCTGAAAGTTATATTGTAAATATAGTTATTAATTTCAGATGAGCGGCCAACTCAAAGTGGGATAGTTGGATTTCGGATATCGGAATGTTATATATATATATATATATATATATATATATATATATAGTTTAATCTTCTTCCTCATCAAGATTAAAGTCTTCCTCTCCCTTAAATAATAAATAACGGGATACCGTTATTCTATTTTTTAAAATTTATATATATATTAAATAATGTATAATATAAATAATTAATAATATACATATAAAAATAGAAACATAACATAATTTATACATTAAATATTTTTACTAATAAAAATTTATAATAGTTAAAAAAATTAAGAAAACAAAATGTTTAAGGTCTTATATCAAATTTTTTATTACTTAAAATATTATCTGAATTATAATAAATAATAATAATAATAATAATAATAATAATAATAAGGAGAAGTTATTGTCTAAAAAAAAATAGAGAAGTAAAATTTTACCTAGGTCCATTAACCAAACCGAAAAAGAAAGTAAAATTTGGGTCCATTTGGTCCAACTTTTCCAATCCTTTTTGTTTTTTTACTACAATCCTTTAACCTTAAGACTTATCAATTGTGGCCTACATTTCCTCTTAGAAGAAGACAAATATGTAGATGGTCCATCGAAGAAGATAGAGTCGCTGCCATCGGAGAAGACGAATATAGTGCCATAAAAAAAGGATAGAATTGTGGAAATCTATCGAAGAAAAAAAATAGATCTATGAAGATATGTCAAAGAAGAAGATAGATTTGTGGAGATCCCTTAGAGAAGAAGACAAACCTATTGGAAGAAGAAGAGAAAATTCGCAACCCATTCGTGATTGCACCACCACGCTTCACCACTTTCACAACTACTTTGGTTGCTCCTTTAAAGTGCTCCACAACAAGTTTTTGTAGTGGCACAAAGTCACTCCACTTTGGTGTGTTGCAATAACGACCTCTATTGACTACTATGATTGTAAACACTTTCATATAACCTTGTAAGATTGAATAGGTTGGTAAAGAATACTATAAATAAGAAACTTGCATTTGTATGTTAGAAGTAGTAGTGAAAGAATATTTATAATAAGTTTTGTTTTAAAGTTAATGGAACCCTTTGAGTATGAAGGTAATTGGACGTAGTTTAGGTTTACTAAACAATATAAAAACATAGTGTTTTTTTCTTGTTTTTCAACTTGGTGTACTTGCTTTCTGGTTCGATTGTGAGAACATAACTATATGTGATGATCTTCTAGAGGTGATTTTGGGTGGGCTTAATGAACATTTGCATTATGTTCTTCTAATATGGATAATTTTCTCTATTAAAAGTGAGAGACCTTGTAAAAGAAGTTATTTTGGACAAGTATTGTCCTTTAATGCTTCTTATCTTAGAAATTTTTCCTTTTATATGATTAGATGCTCAACTCTATCAAACTAAACTTAGATGTCAAACTATTAAGAAAAGAAAGATACTAGAATAGGAGTTGAATAATGTCAATTAAAAATTCAATACTTCTTCGAAATAGTGAAGTAATAATGAAAGCTTTAAGGAGTGCAGACGAAGCAAAAAACAAAGAAGACAAAATGTTTTTATATTTATCCATCTCAACCACTAAGACTATATTCAGTTTTTTATCAACTAGATCAATTTTCACTATCATTTATAAAGATACAAATATTATTTCACAAACTACTTCTCACTCAATCTAAGTATTCTTTGATTTGTTTCTTTAAGCAAACTACCCAAGTGCTTTTTAAATAACAAAGTCTCTTCAGACTTCAAAACCAAGTATACTTTTCAACAACAAAGTTTCTCCACATGTTAACACAAGTATTCTTTTCAACAAACAAAGTTTCTCCAGTTTTCAAGTTAAACAACACAATTAAAGCTAGATAAATTTAACAATTGATTTGTCTTACTAATAAGACATAATACAACTTTCAAGTACAATAATTTATACCTAAAGAAATAATGAATAATAGTTGAAGTTGTTTTCTCTTCTTTCTAAGCCTTTTTTTATATAGGTATTTGATGATGATGATTATTGCAAATTATTGATTCACTCATCGACTTGCTTCGTCTTTTTTCTTGTAGAGTAAGATGTCCATTAGTGCATTAAATGATTTTCACTAAATGGTCACTTATTATTTGATTGAGGAAGTTACTTATCACCTTTTTTGATACAAAAAGGGAGGAATTATTGTGTCAATCGGAAATGACTTTTTATGTGACTTTGCACACTTCGAGATATCTAATTTTTTTTTGACAAAAAAAAAATCTTCATTTCTTTATGAAATTCAAGTACTGAAAAAGCTTTTATTTCTTCAATTTTCTAAAAAATATCATAGAAATAAATGATATGGTAATCAAACACAATTAATGTAATACTTGATGCATTCATTTGAGACAGACAAAGTGTTCTATCTGAAAGGCTTATTAAAAGACATATCATCTTAAAGAACCGTCTTATGCCATCATTTTAATTATGTGATTTGAAAAATAGTTCTTTATAAAAAATATTTGAATTTTTTTATCATTAAAACATTTTTTTTATTTATTCTCTTTAAGATTTTTCAAACACTTATGTAATGGATCATAAATCTTTTATAGTCAGTTACATGATCACATATCCTTTACTAAAAGTTTACTTCTTATTAAAAATGACTTTATTCATTTTAATATTCAAAATATTATTTCTTCTTCTCTTAGTTCTAAGAGGGCCTTAGTTTTGGGTGCTTGAGGGTTAGTTTCAATTTCTTCTCCCTAGAATTAAGAAACTGTGGGTTGGTGTTGAGCTTGGGAGGTTCGAAGCTTAGACATTATTCCTCCCCTTTTTTTCCTCTTCTTCAATTTCAGTTGCTCGGAATTGAGGTAAGAGGAGTTAGGACTTGATCTTTATGGATAATTGTGTGGATTTTCATGTCACATGTGTGGTATGAATGTTCATTGATGCATAATTATTTGAATGTTAAATTGATTTGCAATGAGACTCGATGTTCTTAGTTTCTTGGAGATTTTATGATATTTGGGGTTTTTTTTGGAAGGGGAACTTTGATTTTGTACCCAAATTCTTGTTATGAGTTATTTTGTTGTTGGAAATTGATGTATTATGGTTGTTTAGATGATTTTTTATGATCTAGACTTGAGTTTGGAGCTTGTAGGAAACTTGGGATGGAATGGAGAGGCTCGTAAACCCTAAAATCACGAGAGAAAAAAACAAAGATAGTCTCTGTCATTAAATGGCTATGCCGTTTTGAAATGACTGAGCATAATTGGAAATAAGAAATATGGGTGTCTTTGGAAGGAAATGATTGAGCAAAATTGGATATCAGAATCACGGGTGTCTTTGAAAGGAATCTGCTTAGCGGTTTTGAAATAATTGAGTAGTTTGGTTCTTTTCGAATTAGACTTTTTTACCTTCATAAAAGTTGTAGCCTTAGATGTTAGCTTTCCAATGACTTTGGAATCACCTAAAAAAGATGTCTAAAATTTCAGTTATAACCATTTTAGTGAGAAAATGTCAAGCTATCAATATTTAGCCAAATTGTTGCGGTTTTTGTGATTTTCACTATAGTAGATGATGGATTTAGAACTTGTGGTCTTCATAAAAGTTGTAGGTAATCTTCTTACCTTTCATATGAGATAAAGATGAGTTTGATTGGATTTGTGGAACTCTAATTGTGTTGATTTATGTGAAGCTTGTCTTTGTACTATAATTGATTTTGGTAAGTTGTATATTGATACATGTTGTATGATGTATGATGGTGATGACAAGCATTGATATGCTATTAAGATTAATTTTTCTAGCATTTATGTGCTATGTATGATTAATATGCTATAAATTTAATGGGTGGAATGTTGAATAAGCATTTATATGTTATTATTGGTTAATGTGTTAAGCATTGATATGTTATATATGATTGGTATGATTTGATCTATATATGCATTAACCTGGAGTAATGTATACAGAAGATGTATGTTGATGTTTTGATGTTAAGAATGTTGTGATCATTAAACCATGTTGATTGAATTAGGACTAAAGGAAAATATTTTGTTTAGAAAGTGAAGATCGCATATAAGGAATCTTGTTTTGGTGCTCTAGGAGACCAATTGTTGAAAACCCTCCTAAAGTAGATGTGAAACTCTTGGAGTGGATTTTGATGAGTCTCCTCAAGGTCTTTAGTCAATGTGGAGTAAAATATGAAGTCGAGTGCTACAATCCTTAACTGATTATTAGAAAGGTTGTGTGGTTCCTAGTAGATAGTTAGTGGGCTAACTCCACATATGACTTGGTAATGTATGCCAAGATTGTGGAATACTTATACCTAGCTATACTATTCCTAATGGTGGAACCATACTTTCTTAGTGTAAGTGATGACATTCGAGAAATAGGAAGTTAGGGATTCATATCCTATTTTAGTTGTGATCAAGAAGGTGCATTTTGGCATGAAAGCGACTAGGTTGGTTTGGTAGGGTCAAGCAACTTAATCTACTATGGTGTGTTGGGAGATCTCTATAGATGAATGTGTGATGACGCATAAGTTAAGGTGTATACACATGATGTGTTGTTGATTGGCATGTCTATATGCATTGGATGAGTATCGTATTGTTTGATATGCCTTGGTGTGTAGCTTTCAAACATATTGGTTTTGTGTTGTTTGGTGAATTTTGTAAACCATGAGGTGTTTTGGTTGGTTTATGTGTTGGTGAGTAGTATAAATGTTTATTTTCCTATACTAGTATGTTTTTAAAATCTGTCTTACCCTTGC